ATCTATTCTTTAAAATAAAACAGCCTAAAATATTACAAAGTCATATGTAATCACAAATGACAAACTATAGGAAAATAGTTGATTCTTACTTATGTTAAAAAACAAGGCAACAGGACCCAAATGGAGTCACTTGTGCTAAGCCCCACATCACTAAACCAAGACCTAATACCTAATTTAATTACAGTTTCAACCAGGACAATCTGAACTTACCTGATCAGCACTAGTGAAGTAATGGGCCTGAGAGACCCCTGCTGTCCCCAAAAGAAAGGTGACCTCGCCACCATCAGCTATTCCTAGTATAACCTCCTCTGCCTATAAAGTCTTTCATTTTGTACAACTTTTTGGAGGTCCTTTCTATTTGCTAGATGGGATGCTGCTGGATTCATAAATCCTTGAATAAAGCTACTAAGATCTTCAAAATTTACTCAGTTTAATTTTGTTTCTTAATGCTTAGCTCTTTATCTGTAAAGTCAATCTCAACTTTCCTGCATATTTTTGTTTTGTGGTTGTTTTTGTTTTTTAATGGGAAATGTATTAAAACTTCAACATTAATTTAAAATATATATTTTTTATTTATTTCAGAGAGGGAGAGAGAGATAGAAACATCATCGATTGGCTTCCTCCTGCACATACCCCACTGGTGATGAAGCCCACAACCTGGGCATGTGCCCTTGACAGGAATTGAAGCTGAGACCCTTCAGTCTGCAGGCCGGCACTCTATCCACTGAGCCAAACCTGCTAGGGCCAGAACTTCAACATTAATTTTAACTAACAAATTACAAACAACCCTGTCATTCACCAAGTTACACAACTAGCTCAAGTACAAGTTAAACATTTGTGCTGGCTGTTAAAAAATTACTCTAAGTGAATCCTGTGCTTTGCTCAGCCAAAATCACAGTGTTTCTTCACTTCTTTTTTTTTAATACCTTAGTTTCTATATTTTATTTTATATATTTTTTGGCTTTACGACATCTACCGTATTACCAATATGATACTTGAGCTTTATTATTTTTTGGACTTTTTTGTATGTTTGAAGTATTTCATAATAAAATATGCTCTGCTCTTCTCCCATCATCTGCCTCTGGCACATAATAAATGCTCTTTGTTTGTTGTTGCTCCAGTCTCTGCTCCTCTTTTCCTGTGCACACTGAGGTCATCAGCTTCTCTCTCTCCATTGTGACTTGGCTCCCTTTCCTTTGGCCTTTGGGCACAGTCAGTCCTTGGGCTCTGGACCACTCTAACCGGGGAAGAAACTTTGTTTCTGCTCTTGCCACGCATATCCTTCCAGATATGGAGCCACTTAAATTTTTTTTAAATATATTTTATTGATTTTTTACAGAGAGGAAGGGAGAGGGATAGAGAGTTAGAAACATTGATGAGAGAGAAACTCCGATCAGCTGCCTCCTGCACACTCCCCACTGGGGATGTGCCCGCAACCAAGGTACATGCCCTTGACCGGAATCGAACCCGGGACCCTTCAGTCCACAGGCCGACGTTCTATCCACTGAGCCAAACCGGTTAGGGCTAAATTTTTATTATAGATAGAATTTTCTGTTTTCGGAAGCACAAGTACAGTTAACAACTTAAGTTAAAAATCTAAATTAGAAGTATATATTTTCCTTGAAGCATATAATCTTAAATTCTTCTAAACACACATGTGTAGAATTTGGGGCCAGCTGACTTTCCTTCCAGACCCTAAGTTTCTATTTGGGAATTTTTCCATGATTTAAGTATTAGCCTATGGCAACCTATGGAGATGTTTACATCAACTCAAAGAAGAAACTTAAAAGATTTTTCTTGCTTTTACTGATGTGTGTCAACTAATCTGATAGGTTAAATACAATGTTTTCTCATGTAAAGAGTTGTTCAAACTTTGGTGTGCATTTATTAGATAAAAATGTATGCAGCTTTGCCCAATAAAATCCTTTCACATTGCAAAATAATAATACTAATAAATAATAATAATAATAATAATAATAATAATAATAATATAAGCAACAAGGTCTCAGGGAAAATTCAAATAGTTCTGTCTCATTTTAAGCAAAATCAGCATGTAAATGAGGGGTGAAGGATGACTAAAAGACTCATATTTGTAATGCACAGCAATAGAAATAGGAATGATTCCACCAAGAAACTTTGTTCATAAAAAAATTTGATTATTGTTAATTAGAAACTGTTCTTACCTAAAAAGATAACTTATGAAACTTGCATTTAATATAAACCATCTCTATTTTTTATATAACATAATGGGGCATTCATTCTTCCTTATTATCAGAAGGTTGGGTATAAAAGTTTAGAAACTATGATTAATTTCTTGTTTAATGAAATTGGCCAAAGCTTCCCACAGCTTTAAGACCACTCTGTAAATTCTGTTTTCTGAATGTGAACTTCTTTTTTTCATCTTAAGCAGCATAGCTAGCGTATAAACACAATGGAAAACTGCATTTGGGAGCTACGGCCCCTCTAGGCCACCTATGAAAATGGATGACAAGAGCAGCCAAAACCTGTCCAGGATATGCTTGCTCGACCTTATACGACCCCTCAGAGAAGTTCCCAAAACATACCCAGTGTTTAAAATATGGCTGCAAACATTAACCACAAAAATCACTGTAATTCAAACAAATTTTGTTTTCATTTAAATAAATCATATAAATGCAAAATAATTTTCAATAAAGTATTAGATGAGAAATAGCTTTTAAAATTTGCACATAAAAATATTATCTACTAAAGAAAATCTAACATGATTAAAGTGCCTTGCTTTTGCACTGAAATTGTTATGTGTCAAAAATTGAGATGGGTAGTAAGTAGCTTTTCCCTTCCTTTTACATGTGCTAACAGTTTCTGGGGATGTTCGAGATTTTCATTTTATGATGTCACCTTCTGGTGCTCTCCTAGGAAAACTGGGAAACTATATAGTAGCAAATTTAAGAATAGCAAACAGATGATGGAAAGGATGTACAGAGTATTTGGGGGGAGGGGGAAGGTAAAAATGTTCCCCCTTCTTTTTCTTTTTGCCTTAATCCTCTCATTTGGTTTAGAAACATAAGGCCCTGTTCACTTCATTTAAGCCTCACAATGACTGGAAGCCCGATCAATCTGTCTTGTGTCTTCTTAGGGTAAAACTGCAATTGAGCGGAAGCAACAGATGAACAAAGCCCACATTCAAATCTGTAGCTCATTAAAATAATGTTAAAATAGAGTAAAATCTCAATTGTAAGTGAATTGTAGCTGGTTTTTCCCCCCTGCTAAATACAATTTGATTAATAAAATCATTAGCCCTGAATCAGTGGTCTTTAAAGTAAATTTAAATAAATGTCTCATTCTTTTTAAAAATTGGAACATTTTAAAAAACATTTTGGAAACAGGTATTCAGCGAAGCACCACATGAGATAACATCATAGCAGTCATCTCATCAAGACATGAGTCACAGAGATTCTACACGGTATATGGAGGAACCATCCATGTTTAAGAGCAGTTCTGGCTCTTAAGTCCTCTGATTCCATAAGTTCACATCATAGGGAGAGTTTCTATACATAAATGTCATGTTGATTTGCTGTCACAATGTGTATCCGAATGCCCACTACGTAAAATGTGTAGAACTTCTGTGAGTTTTACGTAATCCAGAAATTCAGGAGGGGCATTTACAAGTACACATACTATCTCTGGCAATTTGTTTTCAATTTGATCCTGTGGATTCCTATCTGAACCTAATCCAGGTCAGGTTTGTGAAAGTCAGATTTTAGTTGGGAACACATTATATCCATTCTTAAGTACGTCTAATGGGTTTTTAATAAAAAGCATAATTACTGCTTAGGCAATTTGGAAATAGCTATTAAAATAAAAAGGCACATGCTCTTCAATCTCAAATTCTCACTTTGAGGAAATCTATCCCATAAAAATAAAAACATCAATACTAAATCAGATGTAATAAAAAATATTTAGTGCAAAATTTTCTCTTGGGGCAAAAACAAACAAAAACCAAAACAGAGTAGAAAAACTATGGGCCATCCATACTATGGACTATTACATATTAAGCATGTAATACTTATATAACCAGATTAAAACAATAAAGCTACTTTCATAAATAAAGAAAAGGTAGCTGAGAAGCAAGTCTAGTTGGAAACTTTCAGGTCATGGATAGCTTTGCAGGTCAATTCCTCACTTTTCCATATGTTTGCTTTTTAATTTTGGGGAAATCACTGAATTTCTCTAAGCTCCCATTTCCACACCTGTGTAAAGTGAATTAACGACGAAGTGGGCATTAAATGAAATCATGGATTTAAAGCATCTAGAAGGGTGAATGATCACAGGAGGCCCTCAACACATTGTGATTCGGAAATCCTTCCCCACACTCTCACCCTAGGGTTTAGGGCAGGGGTGGGCAACCTTTTTGTGAGTGCGTGCCAAAACCAGCAAAATTTCTGACTCAAAATTCTTCTGTGTGCCAACCCTAATTTTTTGAGAACATGTTACGCCTACTTGATATCTCTTAAGGTGTATGTATGTGAAGAACCTTGAAGAAATAATAAAATTCATTCGAGTGACAAAAACACAGTATATGATGATGAAAAATACATTTATTTTTTAATGTATACATGTACACTGATAGTCCGACAGAAAACTTTATGACTCTGTTTGATATTATCAGTGGGACTTTTGCTGCTGCATCACTGATGACAGAGATTTTACATCAGGTTTATATTTCGTGACCTTCAGAGATATGCACGAGCTACTACTTTCATCGTCAGGCTACTCCTATTACGAGACTTAACAAAATTCATCACTGAGAACAAAGATTCACAAGCGTATGTGGATGAAACCAAAACACTGGTCGGATATAGGAAGGCAGGGAGAGTTAAGGCAGAGGCATAGAAATTGCTCTTCCCCTCTCTCGTCAATCCATGTCTATGGTCTTTAAGATAACTTGTTATGTAAAATTATTTATTTATCTAAGATGCACCTACACTGAATTTATCTGAAAAATAAAAAAGTCAATATTAAGAAAAAAATTGTAAATGGAAGATTGTAAGAGAGGGTTTCGCGTGCCAGCAAAAGTTACTGGCGTGCCATGTTTGGCATGCGTGCCAGGGGTTGCCCACCCCTGGTTTAGGAAGCAGGCTTCCTTGCTGACAGGGGTATTTGAGTTCAGGCTGAAGTAGCCACTAGAAGGCTCTCAGATGTACACAAAACTGAGTTCTGGGCCTCCCACCAGACCAGAGAAAGGAAAACAGGGGGACAGGAAGTGGAACAGGGATGAAGAGTAATTCCGTAGTTATCTTGTTGGTGAAGAGAATAGGAAATATGATGACAGATCCTTTAGTTCATAATAGTGAGATAGAAGAAAGTTTCTAAATGTTCCAACTCATGGACCTGATGATCCACCTGGTGTCTCTTCTTCAGTGTGTCCCGACCTGGCTCACGGGCCCACCGAAGGCCCAGTCTTCCTTCAGCAGCAGACACTCGCCAGGTCGACCCACGGCCGCCAGGGCTGTCCTGGTGGGCGCAGGGTCAGAGATTTCTGAGTAATCACAAAGGAAGCAGACGGTGTGCTGCATGGATATCTGGTTCCCTTGTGAGGATCTGACTGACATTTTTTAATTAAACTGGCCCACTGGAGTTTAATTAAGGTGGTGTCTTCTTGAAGTGAAACCAAAAATATATATATATCCCTTTTATGGAACAAGTATGTAGAATAAAAACCTTCTTTTAGCCCTATGATCTTTAAAAGAAGAACAACAAAAAGAAAAACAACCAACAAAAGTACTCTCCATTGTTTCTCATATTCTCTAACATTTTCAGTTCTTAACTAGCAAAATTGTTGAAGATTTCAAACGAACCACAGGCCATCCCCATACTACATGTATCTGAGAAACCACAGAGACTGAATATGTACTTTGGGGATCAGAAAGGCCTCCATTTTAATGCAATTTCATAGAACTCAGCTTAGAAAATGAGTATTGACTAATCATCCTGAAATAATACAGTTCCATCAAATACGTTGAATCTCTCTGGGAAACTCACAGTGTAAAAAAAGGAAATAATCAAAACAACTTTCTGTTTTGGAAAGAGCACTGAACTTTAATCTGAGAAACTATACAGATTTGAAATATCCTTATTGAATTTTTATATACATTTTTCATATTACTCTTTTTTAAAATATACTTTTATTGATTTCAGAGAGGACGGGAGAGGGAGAGATAAAAACATCAATGATGAGAGTGAATCATTGATCAGCTGCCCCCTACTGGGGATCAAGCCCCCAACCCTGGCATATGCCCTTGACCATAATCGAACAGGGGACCCTTCAGTCCACTGAGCCAAACCAGCTAGGGTTCACATTACTCTTAAGTAACTTAGGATATCTGCATAGCAGACAATGTTGAACCCCCCTGCTCCCAGTTCCTTTTTACCATTCCTGGACGCACACCATGCCCTGAAATTGTAATCTGGTGTCCTCAATGGCCAGGCCCTTCAGAGGGTGACTCTCAGCCTACTGGGGCCACTTTGCGGCAGGTACAGAAAGTGGGAAGGTCCTGAGGGTCTATGACCTTCCCTACACCCTGTGGCTGCCAACCAGTCATGGGATGAGGGAGTATGAACCTTCAACACATATAAATGTAACTCTGAAGTTCTTCTGCAGGATTAGGTTGAAGCCCACCCTCTTGGAGATTCTGCCTGAAATCGCCCACCCCCCTGACTTCCTCGCCTACCTCCTTTCCCTGTCTTGCTTTCCTGATTCCCTTAAAGTTTCCTGTGGGAGGTCCTGCACAGGAGTGTCTCTTCCAAGGACCCTGATCTAAGACAGTTTGATATTATAAATTCTCTTGTAATTTATTTTACTTAATTTGAGCCTAAATTGTCATGCCTCTGATTTAAACACTATGTGTAATAATACACCATTTCTCTTTGCTGACTGGATTTCCTAATGACATAATTCTGAGCATTCACTGTCTCCTTGTTATTGTTCTGCACAAATCATTTTCTGTTCACTTGAGATCTTTTAATGTATATATAACCAATGAACCAATTTCATAATAATTCTCATGAATCAGGTCTTCACACAATATATACATTGACCATCCTAGCAAATGACACAGAGGACCTGAATCCTTGAAAAGAATAATTATCAGGAAGATTCCAACATCAAAGTGACCAACTCGGTACCACTACTTCATTCTTCTAAACTGACAAGGACTATAGGGAACAGCTGACCAAGTAAGTGTTAGTCTTTGGGCAAAGATTATACTGATATACTTGCTAACAGAGTCCAGGAAAATCAGTCCAGAAAGACTAAGAAAAACAATCTAAAGTCCTTTTAGATTGAAAGGCTTAAAACCAATACTCAAGGTTCACAGCCAGGGCAAATTACTTTGCCAACTCTAAGGCAGAGTTCCAAAGATATCTTCCATTTGTGAACATAGGAAATTTAGCAAAAAGGTAATGCTTTAATCACACCTGGATTCCAACCCTTGAAGAAGCATGTTAATTTGAAGTGTATCTGAATATTTAACCAAAGAATGGAGCAAGAACATTTAAATTATCCTCTTTCATTATCATCATCATCTCTTCATCCTTTCATTTGCCACCACAATGGAGAAGTTATGCTTGCCACTCATGTGGACAATAGGGTCATAAGTCTTGGGTTTAGCATGCAGTACCTGCTGTGGTACATATTCTTCTGTTAATGAGCATGCATAACTCTTTATCCTCAAGGGACTGTCTCTGCACATAAAAGGACACATAACTTTTATAACGCCAGAAAGAAGTAAATACAGCTCATTGAGTTTTCTATGGGAGGATTTGGAGAGAATAATTATTCTGAATTGTCAGTATCTTCAGGCAGTGGGCTGGTGCCTTCTCTAAACGAGGGACGTGTTTACGTTTTTATACCGTACAACCAAGTTAGCAAGTATGTTCTGACTAAATCTATATATATAAAAGCCTAAGCAACCGGCCGACCGTTCCACCATCTGACCGGTAGCTATGATGTGCACTGACCACCAGGGGGTAGATGCTCAACGCAGGAGCTGCTGAGCTACCGTGACTTGGCAGCTGCGGTTCTCGGTGACACACCCGGAACCAGAGAGGAGGGAGCCCGATTCTGGGGTGTGTCACCCGAGAACTGCCCTCTCGCAATCCGGGACCCCTCGGGGGATGTTGGAGAGCCGGTTTCAGCCGGATCCCTGGAGGCTAGGCCGAGGGACCCCACCAGTGCATGAATCCGTGCACCAGGCCTCTAGTATAATATAAAAGTAACATTTATTCCCTTGGTGCTTTCAGTCACCAGAGGACAAGTCTCAGGCCATTGGAGCCTCTTGGTCCCATGCAGACAGCAGGAAGTGCTTGGGTCTTACAAAGATCCTTACCCACATGGTGCTGGCCCCTTGCCTCAGCTGGGAAAAAGTCTAAGATGTAATTTACATTAACAACATTAATGAAAAACTTAATAAAAGACTTTTCTTCTTCTGTATGTTTTCAAAATGTGTTATTATATTTGTTGAGAAGAAGAAAAGCATATGTTCTCTCAATAGATATGAAGTGCTCTGCAAAGAAGCTGACACATGTCAAATATTCAGTAAATGTTAGATGCTATTATTATAATTATTACTATCATTAAGAAAGTGTCCAGGGAATTATCACAATTCTAAAAAATCCAGAAAACAATTGAAATTCAATTTCAAAGTGTTTAGGGAATTTTTGCTATTTCCTAAGAGATGAAATGTCACAAAAGGAATTCTAGCTCAATAACAATCTGAGACAAGGAAAGAAAGCTTCACAACTAAATCAAAGACAAGGAGAAAGATAAAGCAATTTAAAGATATATGCTCAGGTTATTTGGTATATCAAAGCAAAGTAAAAATCTTAACCCAGGACTTCCGGTGCTAAGTACTTCATTACTTGACCAGAATACTTATACATCCCCCCACTCACACACACATATAGGCAGTCCTCACTATTCACAGTGGTACAGAACCACAAAAGTAACTATAAAAGCTGACACTGTGCAAAATGATCTTAATAATCTATAGGAAAAACAGTCTGATCAGACATAGCAAGCATAAAAACCAGATTCCAGTATGACACTAACTGTGGAATTAAAGATAGGGAATTTAAAATAACTATGAGGACTCTATTAATGGCACCCCAAACAGTCATCAGCCCCTCACCCAGGCTTGCCAGGCACCCAAGCGGGACCCCCACCCTGATCCGGGACACCCTTCAGGGCAAACCAGCCAGTCCCCATCCATGCACCAGGCCTCTATCCTATATAGTAAAAGGGTAATATGCAAACTGACCCTAACAGCAGAACAACTGGGAATGACTGGTCACTATGACACACACTGACCACCAGGGGGCAGACGCTCAATGCAGGAGCTGCTCTATGGTGGTCAGGGCGCTCCCACATGGGGGAGCTCTGCTCAGCCACAAGCCAGGCTGATGGCTGCCAGTACAGTGGTGGTGGCGGGAGCCTCTCCTGCCTCCTCAGCAGCGCTAAGGATGTCTGACTGCAGCTTAGGTCTGCTCCCTGCTGGCAAGTGGACATCCCCCGAGGGCTGCCGGGCTGCCAGAGGGATGTCTGATTGCCAGCTTAGGCCCAATCCCCCCCAGGGAGCAGACCTAAGCCAGCAGGTGGTCATCCCCTGAGGGGTCCCAGACTGCGAGAGGGCACAGGCCGGGCTGAGGGACCCCCCCCCCCCAGGTGCACAAATTTTTGTGCACCAGGCCTCTAGTTTAAAATAACTGTGATGACTCTATTAATGGCTCTGATGGAAAAACTACACAGCATGGAAGAACAGATCCATAATGTAGACAGAGAGATGAAAACTCTAAGAATCAAAAGTAAATACTAGAAATTAAAAAACCAACAAACAGTGTAACAGAAACATAGAATGCCTTTGATGGGCTCACCTATAGACTGGACAGAGCAAAGGAGTCAGTGAGCTTAAACGTAGTTCAATGGAACTTACCAAACTGAAATAAAGCAAAAGAAAAGAATGAAAAAACAAGGCCAACGCATTAAAAAACTGTGAAATAATTTCAAAATATGTAACATACGTATAATTGGCATACCAGAGGAAAAGAGGGAACAAAACAGAGAAATATTTGATGTAAGAATGATGAAGAATTTTCACAATTAATGATAAACACCAAACTACATAAGCAGGAACCTCAAAGAACATCAAGCAGTTATCCTGTGAATCTACAACTAGGCATATCATATTCAAACAAGAATCAGAAATAGTTTTGTGTTTAATCTAGGGTCTAATCTTGGGAAGGCAAAATCAAGAGTTGTTAGGGGAAATTTGGTCACTTGATTAAGAGGGGATCATAATTGCCTGGGAAGAATGGTGTTAACACGGCTACTTATTTATCAGAGTGGCAAAATGTTATTTTTAAATACACAGAGAATTTTACTTTCCTACTTCCTAATATTATATTCCTTACTGTAATCATGGACCAGAGACAGTTGATACTGTCAGCTAGCAGATGGTTTCCGCTTTCTTCTTATGTGAGCCCGAAGGCTCTGCTATAAACTACAGGCTGAAGATTGTGCCATTAACACAGCCTCAGAACAGTGATGGAAAGTACCAGATACTTTTTAACTATTGACATTTCAATTATTGGAATATGGATTCAAGCTTCCGAGCTGATATCGCCTGGATGACTGGCACAATGTACTGGGTCGAATTGTTGGAACTCTTTTTTGAGTCCCGAAGCAGATCATTTTAAGAAAAGCCAACTGCTGACCCATGATCAAGGAGATAAAGAGTCCATAGGAATGGATGAAGGAGATCCAACTTCGGCTACTTGTTTTGCAATATTGTCGGTATTCCTTTAATGTTCTATTTGCTGGTGTGTGCAAGGTGTAGCCTTTCTCATTCCTTGATCTATCTCCAACCTTTAATAGGCATTTTTTCCCAACTTAAAGTAAGCATTCTTTACATGTTTAAAAATAAAAAGCAAGTCTATAAGGTTTCTGAATGTATGAAGATATGAGGTGATGACATGGTGGAAGAGGGTGAAAGAAAATGCATCATTATGTCCATAGTTTGCTTTTCCCCCCCATAAATAGTGACCTTCCCCAAGTATATATGAGCAAATATCAAGTCAATTGTTTTATTGTTTTATTGACTTCAACTTCTAGCCACTCCCTGAATCATATAGTTCAGTCAAATAAAAAAGAAAAAAAATCCACAGGGTAAATGATATGGCCTTTGAATAATAATACATGTTTCATTTTATTAGCTTGGAGCAGTCAATTGTTTCTTTCTATACAAGGAAGTTGAACTTCCCTATGAGCACATATACAATATTTTATCTGTAACACCTTTTTCTTATAAACTTAAACTCTTTCAGTTAGCATCTCCTGGAGAAATTTAATTTGTCTTGTTGATTTACATATTTGGAGAATTGATACAGGTGGATTTTTCCCCAATAAATTCAAAGTGAGATAGTCAATATGTAATATTAACCTCTATTAATAAAATTCTTAGGTAATAGACCATTTTTGTTAACTAACTTTTCTATTAATGAGGGTTAAATTTTTAGAGAGTTTTTATAGTTCTACATTTTATTGTTGTAATTCTTTCTAAATGGCATTGATTGACTTTCCTTACTTGAGAAAGAGGGCAGCATGGTGGTTAAGAAAAAGGCTTTGGAGACTCACAGACATGAGTTCAAAAATCAAGTTCCCCAGTATTCAGTTGTAGGGCCCATGGCAAATCTGAACCTTTTTAAGCCTCTATCTACTTCCTTGCCTGTACTAAAATACAAACACCCTACCTGCAGGTTTGGTTTCTTCTGAAGTCTCTCTCCTTGGGTTTCAGATAGCCACCTCTCACCATGTCCTCACTGGTCTTTGCTCTGTGCACATGCATCCCTTTGTATGCCCAAATTCCTTTTCATATGAGGTTAAGCACACAGATTGGATTAGGGCCCACCCATATGACCTCACTGAACCTTAATTACCTCTTTAAAGGCTCTATCTCCAAATATAATCACATTCAGAGATGCTGGGTGTTAGAGCCTCAACATATGGATTTTGGGGGACACAATTCAGCCCATAACACACTAATATAATTTTTATGTTATTAGTTTGGAGTAGTAAATTGTTTCCATATTAAAAAACTGAACAACCCCATAGACACATAGAAAAATCCAATAATAAGTAACTATTGTTAAGTACAATGTTGTGAACATTATGTCATTACTAGTGGCCTGGTGTGCAAATTGGTGCACATTGAAAGGAAATTAATTAGAAGAAATATTTTAATATCGCTATTTGCCCTTTCTCTATAATAGAAGTGTCAACCAAATTCATGATCAACAATGACAGATAGAAACACACGTGTGCGGTTGGTTGGCGCCAGTGAGAGCTTTATTTTATAGATATAGAATAAACTTGCTTAATTAGACCTGCTTTCTGCTTTAGCTAAAATTTTTCCAGCCCAATGAAGCACCCCAACTTCTTCAGGTAATTTTCAGCAACACAGCAATAAATATCAACACGAAGCAGATTATTATTATAGATCATGCCAGGAGAACAAAAGGTAAAATGTTTAACTGCAGCAGTGTTTTACTATATTCTGCACAGTGAGAAAACCCAAAGTCATTTTCAAGGTCCACCATTTCTTACTTCTTTTCAGTCGGGTCGAGTTTCTAAGCTTTCTAAATCTCCATTTTCTGGCTAATGAAAAGAAAATAGGATTCCACCGAGTCTCCTATCTACCTACTCCAGGACTTCTGTGAGGTTCAAATGAGATAAAGCATGGGAAAATGCTTCACAGACATTTGGTTACAGTGTAAAGTGTTTCTACCTGGCTATAAAGCAATTTTAGGTGTAGTAACGTCATGACTAAAACAAGGTGTATGCATGTGTTATAACTGGCTGATCATACAAATAATTATTAAATATAAACACATATGCTTTTGTCGATTTGTTGGAGAGATTCGTTCCTGAGCTGAAGAAATTTCAAGGAGGCTAGTCGCTACGGAGAAGAAGCCAGGCATTGCTATGTGATGTCATTACCCAGATGGTTGGACACTTAGCATATTAGCCTTTTATATATATAGATTCTCTAGTGGCTGACTTGTCATTATGGCACTTCAGGTCATCATTCAGAATATCACTTACCACCACTATAGATATTTTTATAGATAGGCATGGGGAATTTGGCCAAATATTTACTTATATTGGGAATAAAATGTGGAAATTGCTTTTGGAATAAAACCTGTATATTGGTTTTTTTCTTTTTTATTGTAATTGGTCTCATTCTCCTAAAAGCATAAGGAAAATCAACTAAGTGTCAGAATAATGAAGTATTGTCTATGTCTCTTAATTGTATACATAAAACAGTTAAGAATTCGAACCAATGGAGTTTATTTTCAGGTATTTCATAGCCATTCCATCCAGATATACAATTCAAGTAAAAATCAGATTTCATTAAAAAATATGTTAGTATTTTTCTTTCACATAATAATAGGCCTGCCAATCTAGTGATGAATTGAATTTGCCATGATCAAATGTTTCATAGGCTCTACCCTGTGTCAATCTCGCAGTGGCACCAAAACAACTGAATAAATTCAGGAGAAACAGAGTAGGTTACTAATTAAAGTGCTGCTCAGAAAGAATTATTTAAGCAATGAAATCTGTGGATAACTTAGATATTTTCTTTTATTTTCATATTCAAGTCTTATCATGGTCCCTATATATGAACAATGAAGGTTGGTTGGCATATTGGGTATTGAGCCTTCTTTTAACCATAATCCACAAACCTATGAATTGTCTTAACTTTATCCTGTTATTTCTGGTTTTCACTGCAATATAACGCAAAATCGAATCCACAACCAAATAGCCGTTTGAGAGAATTGTCACTACTCTATACGGAACAACAGAGACATTTTGAAAGTCGATAAACTATAGATGTGTATCTTCTTTAATAAGTAACCAGGTTTAACCACATTTTTATTAGGACTCTGTAGTACAATGACAGTAAGTTTAGGTGTAGTAATGTCATGACTAAAACAAGGTGTATGCATGTGTTATAACTGGCTGATCATACAAATAATTATTAAATATAAACACATATGCTTTTGTCGATTTGTTGGAGAGATTCGTTAATTGCTTAATGAAAGATGTCTTTCGGATACTAATTCCTTCATTTAGTTCAACAGATTAAATTTTATATGAGAAGATATTAGCATGCATGCAATGAAGTGACAAGGACAACCAAAAAGCTTAAATGTTAATGGGTAAAAGATAGCGTTTAGGTTATATTAAAAGCTAAACAGTATAATTTTCATTTTGTGTGCTTCCATTTGCTCTCTTTCCTTAGACAAACATGTCTGTTTTAATATTCATGCAAATATTGCAATATCAAGATTGTTTCTACATTTCTCTGAATTGTAAATAAATTATGAAACTTTAAACACTGTATGAAAATTCCACATAAGGCAACATTGTGCATTTTCTAATTTGCAGAACTAGTCAGGACTTGACATTTGCAACCAAAGCAAACCACTTTTGCACTATATAGTTTTAAGTCATTATCTAATTTTATGGAGATTCTGGATTTCTAGTTGGCAGAGGCTTTAGTATAAAAAGAGCTTCACCACCATAGAGTTAATGTTGACAATTTTTTTTTTGCAAGAGAAAATTACCACTAATGCCAACAGACTTGTCTTCATTCCCTCCAGTCCCCTTAAACTGCAGCTCAATCTGGTATAATCTTTTTTCCTCCCCCAGTAGGGTGCAGAGAGCCCTCTAGCTTCCACGCCTGTTTCCTACTGAGGTACATATTGGCCAGCATACAGCTGCTCAGAACAACTATTTGCATCTACAATGGGGTCATCCCACCACGTTCTTTTCAGATCAATATGATTGGTACAAACAATAGTTTGATTTTGATTACTCTATAGTACGCTTGGGTAGAGCCTGTGAATGCAAGTGAATTGCTTAGAAACAATGGGCTGGTTCATCATCCAAAGCGTCCCTTTTCAAACAGCTGCCTCCGCCACACTCACCCTGACAACGTCCAGAAAAACAGATGGTTTCAGCATTCATGGCCAGTTTAGTGAAAGCCCCTGAGTCAACCATTCAACGCATATTTTTAATCTACTTGATAGTAAGGAGTATTTCTCTCCACTAAACTTTTCAAATATATCTAAATTCTCTTCCTACATCTAAGTTGACTTAAAAAGAAAAAAGGAGATATTTAGAAGGTGAGAATAAAATCCCTTTTTTAAGTCAGTCTAGCTAAGGTCTTTTGTTAACACTTCAGTGTAGACCCTCATGTATGTTATGTGTTGTAATCCTGCAACACAAAAAGGTGGATTAATAATGCAGCTAAGATCCCCCCGTGTTGATTTCCCTAGCTTCTGTTGTCTATTTAAAGGCAGGCCTTTCAGGTTACTTTAAAAGCATGCATTTTCTTCCCTGACTTTGTTTTACCACAGAAAAATCAGTTCTGAGAATTACATAGGGAATCACACAAGAGACACTGTCCTTCTTGTGTGTTATCATCACTCATTTATAGAATATATTAAAATATATTTTGTATTCAGTTGGTTGTAAAGGCTCTGAAGACTCAAGTATTGATCCTAAATGCATTTTTATTTTGGTGCTTTAAAAAAAACAATAACTAAATTTTATGTGCGAGCTAACATTGCTATACTATTTTACTTTTGCATTTTTATAGTAAGCATCAAGAGAAAAAAAATGTGTACCCATGAACCAGGAGAAATGTTTCAATTTCAGAAACAAATGATTAGAAACAGAAGAGTAAACAATTTAAAATTATTATTTTTCATTATTTAAGATATAAAATTTTGGAACAGATACCCAACCCAATACTACATATTCTCTCAATTCCATTTGTTTATAGCATTATTCTCTAAGGACACAAAAGAGATTAAAAGGACATTTTGACATACTCTTGCTATCAACTGCCTTTTGAGGAATGTTTATACCCCAATCTACATTTACAAATCTATAATCTTGTATATACCCTCATTTTAGGAAAGACATTTTCCCTAAAATTTGAGTACAAAAAGTGATTCTGTTGTTATCACTGACTTTATTAGAAATTAGTAAAAAGTATTCATTTATTAAACTCATTTTACTGATCTGTAAAAGGACAATAACAATGTTATCTTTATCATTGAGTTATTAACTGGATGAAATTAGTGCTTATAAAAGCACCTAACACGGTACCTGGCTTATGATTATTATCATTATCACCATTAGAGAAATATAAAAGAAAATATACAGCAGAAAAAAACTAAATAAGTCACCCAATGGGCAAAGCTAAACATTTGAAAGGGAGAAAATTAAGGCCCGGGCCTGGCCCGTGACCCTCTGCGCTTGGCTCCTCACCACTTCAGGACCTGTGCTGGCCCCTTCTCACCAAACTCCTCTTCTGGGGACTCCGAGATGCTCCTCAGGCCTCACGAGTACAGACGATGTTGAGGTGGTTCTCACCTCCACCTGCTTGACTCCTTGATGCTGCCTAGTAAACATCTGCACTCCCTGAACCCACAAGTCATCCACCCATTCAGTAGCCTTTGCCCAGGACCAAAGCGTCTGCTGAGGGGCTATGACACCGGGTGAGCACTGAGATGGGAGGTGGAGTTTCTCCACTCAGTGCACGTATGTCCTCGCATGTCTCCCACCTGTAAGTACAAACCAACCGAAACTTCCCTTTCCTCTGAGTCACACTTCAGTTATTGCCCAACTATATGTCTGCTTCCCTTTCCTTCTAAGAATGGCCTATGCTTGCTGCCCTCCTTCCTCACCTCCATTCCCACCCCAGGCTTCCGCATTGAATGCTCCACTAAAACTATAATAATTATCGGGTTGATTGGCAAGGATCCCCTAATTGCCCAATCCCGTGAACACTTCTCAGTCCCGCTGATATTCTACTTTGCTGCAGAATCAGGACACAAGAGGGATTAAGAGGAGATTTGACATACTCTTATCAACTGCCTTTTGTGGAATGTACTTAACCCTAATCTGCTGACCACCATTCATTTAACCTGTTCATTTACCTGCCCCTGTGCTGGGTTCTGGGGATACAAAGAAGCATTTATGGAATTGTCTGCTTCTGGACAACCCTCCCACATTCTCTCCTATCTTTGCTCCCATCTTTTCAATCACTCTCACAGATTTACCTTCCTTATCACTTAGTAAAGTGTCAGTGTTCCTCAGGGTTCTATTGTCTATGTCTGTTCTTGGTTTACTAATCTTCATTATCAGTTCATTCAACAAAACCCTTACTAAGCACCTCCTATATCTGAATTTTATCCATGCCTATGACTTCAGTTAAATACAAACTCCAAAATGACATCCTACATTCATTTAAAAAATACCATTAAGCACTTACTCTGTGCTAGGCTCATTCATTGATTGCTGACTAAACTAGTCTTCAGTTTAGTGTAGTCTAGGAGAAAGATAACTACACAGGCAATTACAATATCTAATGATGCACAGAGATGTGCACAGAGAAGGTTAACCTAATTTGCGCTGAGGGTTTAGACTTAAAAATATATGGCTCTTGCCGGTTTGGCTTAGTGGATAGAGTGTACACCTTTGGACTGAAGAGTCCCAGGTTTGATTCTGGTCAAAGGCACATGTCCGGGTTGCGGTCTCAATCCCCAGTAGGGGGGCATGCAGGAGGCAGCCAATCAATGATTCTCTCTCATTATTGATGTTTCTATCTCTCCCTCTCACTTCCTCTCTGAAATCAATAAAAACATTTTTTTAAAGTATAACAAGGAGAGAGAGATCATCAAATTTCTGTTTTAGAAAGATCACTTTGACTATAATGAATTCAAAGAGGGCAGGGAGATGAGTTAGGAGGTGCTATAGTAATCCAGGTAAACTATGAGGAAAAACTGGATTAAGGTAGAGGCAGTGGGAACAAAAAAAAAGTTAGACAGACTTTAGAGAAATTTATTGAATAGATTTGTAATGCTTATTAATTAAAGCTGGATATGTAAGACACTCCTGGAAACAGGAGAAAAAACATGGGATCATGTATGTTCAGGTGGCTATGTTTCTATGGCTCAAAAGAATATCACCTGTAATAGATTGTACAATGGCAATTCCTAATTGCCCGAGTATGAGTCTGTCTCCTGCACCAGACTGTGGTTTTCAGTGTTTTTCTACATCCATACTATCCATATATCCAATCAAGTTCCATCATAATATTTCTTATTCGAAGCAGTGTGGGCGGAAGGGGGAGGAGAAGAGGGAGGAAGTTCAGAATCTCTAGGGGAATATACAGTAGGAGAATTGAAAATCCTCTCTACATAGGAAGTTTCCTGACAGGAGAAGAGGTATCGGTTCAAACACTGTTTAACTAAGACTTAGCACAATATTTAGAATAAACCTGGGTATTCAGTGTTTCTTGAATAAATGAGTATAGATGAATAAAGAATGTGAAAACGCTCCTTTTAGCCATGCAGTCAGTCTGTAGAATACTCCAGAAAAAGAGAAGAGAGCCAGCTCTTCCCTCAGTCTGACCTTCTGAATTTCCCTGTTATTGCTCTTGTATTTGGGGGCCTGGGGTGGGTAGACATGAAAGACAATATGGGAATGAAAATAAGAGCAACGTTTCAGGGCCAGAGAGTCCTGGAGTTTCAGGGCCAACGGACCCTCCACCTTTATCTCACTTGCTCTCACTCAACAGAACTGAGATCTAAAAATGTGAAGTCAGGCATGGCAGCACAACATGATCTAGATCTAAAGTTCTTCTTCTCTCTAAAACTTGACGATCAAAGTTTTCTCAAGGTTTAAAACATCTAGATGTTGAAAACAATCCAAACGTAGGGGCATGTTTGAAGTCAAAGGCATAAATGTAAGCACCTTTGCTTCCTAGGGAAAAAATAAGTAGGGGAAAAATATATCGATTCCATCTGATGATTTGGTTTTATTTGTATGTTTCCCAACTTGTTCCAAGTACATTAGTAGCCTTAAGCAACTTTTTGTATATGAGACATTGTTCTTCATCTATCTGAAAACAAATGAGTCTCCAAATCTGAGTGTGTTGCTGTAAGGGGGAACAAAGCTGGTCTGGAGCATGATCACAGGGAAATGTGAACTATCCCAAGGAGGGACAATTGATAACACTGAGTTGGACTTGCTTCCCCCACTGCCCTGGGTTTGCATCCACTTCCCAGAGCCAACCCTAATTCCTGTCTTTAGTTCCCTTCCCGGCCCACCAATTTCTCTGCGACAAACATTATTTATATATCATGGTGCCTGGCCTCTCTCTAGGCACCACGACTGCCGTTTAAACATCTCTGATGAGACTTGTGCACCTGAACAGGTGCCTCGTGCCTCTTGCCTCTCCCTTTCTGACATAGCAGGGTATCATCCTCAGGCCAATGCCAGATCTTGTTGAATGTTACATCCCATTGACTTCCCACTGGAGAAACTTCTCCCTCTCCAGTTCCATCCCTGTTGGGTCTCTGTAATGTGGGCCCCTTAGTTGCTTCTTGTTACCATAGTAATTCTTTTCTTAAGATACAAACTGTTTTACATTTTTAAAATAATGTGTTTTCCCTTAAAAAATTTATAAAATAGAGATGAGGAAATGAAGAAAATAAATGTGACCTGTCATCTTCTCTCTCAAAAGTAACCACTGTTGGTATTTTGATACATCTTTATAAGCCCACACAATTCACATGGACATATATAGAGTTTTACTTGAAAATGACATCACACAGCACCCAAAACCAGCTCTTTTACCTGATAATATGGTATAAACATTTTTCATGTCAATAAATAGCCCTATACAACATATTTTAATGAATGAATATCATTCCCTTATAGGGATATACTATAATCTATGTTACCCACTCTTTGCTACTGGTTGTTATTTAGAGCATTTATTTTTCACGGATTATAGTAAATGCTGCCATATATAGTATGTACATATAGACACGCAATAGTCATATATTAATAACTCTTCAAGCATCTCTATTATTATTTCCTGAGAATAAATTGCCAGAATTGAAATTGCTTAATCAACTGACATGCACATTTTTAGGGCTTTCGATGCATATGGGAAAATTGCTCTCCAGAAAAACTGAGAGTGTTCATTGCCACCCAAATCCTTTTCTGAATACCCTTTCTTTTTTGCTCACAAACTAGGCCATCCTAACTACTTACCACTAACTACTTAAGAACAGATTTTATGTGATACCTGCCTTCCCAGCCTGTGAACCTGGTCAAGTCTCTTAACCTCGCTGATCTCTTAACCTCTCTGACAGTTTGTGAACATGACACCACATGGGCACAGTAAATTCACAATAAAAGTTTTTCTTCCTTCCACGTGTGACATATCAGCCAATGTGTAAATTGTTTCGCCACTCTGTTTTGTTATTTATCTTTTCAGGCATATGCCCATTCTAAAACACACACACACACACAAAAACAGCATGATGATCTGCTTTCCAGGGATGTATTGTTATGAAAAGCCAGGCCGCCTATAGGATTAGAAAGCAATATCACTCACTGCCAGCAGATGCCACTACCTGATCCATGATGTATAAGCAGAAAAAAAATCTTTAAGTATGAGATTCCAGGACCTGTAAGCAAACCAGTGCACTAGCTAGATCATAGACGGTGCCCAGCTGAGGTTACAGAACAACTATGTGAACAAAGTTTACTTACAAGCAGAGCTACATACCTTGCCATATATTTTCATAATTAAATACCATGTCCAATTTTCTGTTAAACTAAATCATATATGTGTGTGTGTGCATGTGTGTGTGTATGTCTCTCTCTCTCTCTCTCTCTCTCTCTCTCTCTCTCTCTCTATATATATATATATATATATATATATAAATTCAAAATAAACTCTAAAGTTCCCTCAAGGGGGTTATATTAATTATGAGCTGTACCCCAATGTATCTCCGCTACCCACAGAGTTCTAACGACTTTAAAATATGCTGGTAATGAGGAAAGACATATGGGATATTATGTAGAGTTGAGGTAGGTGGTAAGAGATACAGAATGGGACTCAAGGAGAGAATATTTTTCCCTAATGTTCTCTGTATGAAATTATACACTATAGTATTTGAAGGAAAACTGAAACATCTTATATCTTTTTCTATATATATGATATACCATATATATATGCTTGAACCTTGACCATATATATAGGATGGGGCAAAAGCAGGCTTGCAGTTGTTTGTATGGAAAATAATATAATCCTATATAATAAGGAGATAATATGCAAATTGACCATCACATCCTTGCACAAGATGGCCACACCCATGTGGTCACAAGATGGCCACCACAAGATGGCCGGCAGGGGAGGGCAGTTGGTGGGGACCAGGCCTGCAGGGGAGGGCAGTTAGGGGCAATCAGGCTGGCAGGGGAGCAGTTAGGCGTCAATCAGGCAGGCAGGCAGGCGAGTGGTTGGGAGCTAGCAGTCCCAGATTGTGAGAGGAATGTCTGACTGCCGGTTTAGTTGGGCCACAGAGATCGGGCCTAAACCAGCAGTTGGACACCCCCCGAGGGGTCCCAGATTGGAGAGGGTGCAGGCTGGGCTGAGGGATACCCCCACACACACACCAGTGCATGAATTTCACGCACCGGGCCTCTAGTAATTAATAAATAATAATACAAGAATGATCTGTTTCATGTACTCACAACTATAAACCTACTTTTGTCCCATCCTACATATACATATATATAATTTTTCTTGCAACATATGAAGAAAGTAAAATCTGAGAAATTTGTACACTTACATGGTACCCATCAATGTCTTCTTACAAATACTTTGGTCTAGGTTTTCTAGTCAGGAATTATAAAAGCTTTGGTAAATTCACTATACATAAACTCCTTCTATTACATGTAAAGGAATGAGATGAAATTTGAGAGGACCTACAGATAGCACACACGATTAACAACCTGGATTAACAATCTGGAAAAGTTAACAGCCTGTACAAAAAGCAGAGGTCAAATGTAAATTACTAAGGTCTTCCAGTGTTTGAAATGTTATTTTTCATGGAAGATTCAAAGAGAAGACTTCTGTTTAGAATGTACCAGAATTCAATGGTTCTCTTTAAACAGTTAACACTCTTTTAAAATTAAGATGAACTCAGATTTGAATAGACTGACAGGAGTTTCTCATAAAAAAGATTATACTGATTTTGAAAAACAATGCCAAATGCCCACTCTCAAGGGCTGTTTTTTATTTTAATTTGCTGAGCCTACAAAATAATTGTTTTGTTGAACTCTGAAGCACTATGCTAATATTTAGCATTGCATCAGCTCCCATTGCTCTGCAAATAATCTTTGTATTGCAAACAATCCTTGCTCTCCATATTAAGTATGCATGCATATAATTTCTTTGAACCCAAACATGTATCTTTGTTACACCAAAGCAACCCATTGCCAGCAAAGAATGAATCAGACCTTTCGTACCAACAGCCTGAGGGAATGAACATGGGGCAGGACAACTGAGGAGGCCTAGTAATGGCCAAATAGGATTTCTGCTCTCCTGAAGCTTATATTATAGGAATTGTAAACAGAAAAGAATAAGTACACAAGCGCATGAGCCAGAAAGTTTCAGACTGCGAAGAGTCTATAAAGCAAGTGAAATGGATTTAGTTGACAGAGTGAGAAGACAGCATTAGGGTGGGGAGGAAAGTCTTTTCTGAGAAGTTGACATTTGAGCTGCACTTGGATGACAAGCTTGAGCATGTCATGGATATGTGGGAGCTGAATCCCAGTCAAAAGTTGAAGGGTGCAAAGGTGAGCCAGCTTGGCATGGCTGAGGAACAAAGAGGCCAGTGTGGCTGGTGCCCGTGCACAGGGCAGCAGAGGATGGGAGGAGGCCTCTGTAAAGGCTTAGTCACCCCAACTAGGATGTACTCTCCCTTCTGAGAAAAGTAGGAAGGCGGTGAGTGACACACATGATCTGATTAAGTTATAGAAAGCCTGTCCCCAAAATGTAAGATCTCATGCAAATCAGTTGAATATTTTTAGTATTGGAATATTTGTGCAAACTTGATGCAGTACATGGACCGATTTCATTTTTAAGATCTGCACGAGGTCTCAGTGTTTGGGAGTGTCCTCACATTGGGGTTGTGATTGATTGCCCTGATAGTAATTTGATGTGCTCCAAAAGATAACCTGATATATTTAATTTAAACCAATGTCTAAATGCTCGCCATGATCTAACAGAACAGGGGACAAGGCAGACGGGGACGGGAAGGACCAGAAGTTAGCCCAGGAAAGGTGAGAGGGGGCAGACAGGATTCAGTAGACAAACAGGCAAGCAGAAGTGAACCCTGGAATCGGGGGCAAGTGTTTAGAAAGGCAAGAAGGCATAGTTAGAGCTGGCGGGAGAGAGGTGAAGACATAAGTGCATTAGTCACCTGACCTTTATTTGGTAATACAAAGGAGTGTCATGATCAGACTGGAGAAGGAATGAGAACTTTGAAGGAATATGTAAAACAAAGGAGGCAGAGAGCTGAGGACAGAACCTTGGGCGAGACCTATATTTATGCAGAAAATTTCAGGATAAAATTGGAGTCAATGAACAATAGTGAGAGCAGCACATGAAACCCAGAGACAAAGTTTTAAGGAGACATGGGAAAACCCTCTGGCTTTAATGATTCCAAGTTCCACGGGCAACTTTATTATAGTTGGGAGGCCAGAGAGGCAATAACTCGCCAAATCTCATGAGTTCAAGGCAGAGCTGTGATTTGGGCTCTGGGTGACATTGTCCTCATAGCTGGCCAGCTGTGGGTGTGTGCACACTTGTGTGTGTGTGTGTGTGTGCTGTGTCTGTGTGCATGTGCCATGTCTGTATGTGCAAGTGCCCTGTGTATGTTGAACACAGAAGAGAGTTTTTTTCTGAAGTAGGGAGAAACCGGCTAGTCCTTAAAGATGCTATGTAGGTGCTTCACATGATTGAAGACAGAATATCCTATTTCTTTCATTTCATTTGTAACATCACTTCACTTTTATTCATCTTCCTATTGTCTGGCTTCTTTTCCTCTTAACGAAGGTCTGGCAAATATTTTTTGTAAAGAGATGGAGAGTAAATATTTTAAGCTTTGAGGGCCAAGAGGCAAAATCAATTATATTACACAGGTATTTACATAATAAGAAGAAACACAATTTTCACATATTTCTCATTAATAAAATTTAAAATACAACAACAACAACAACAATAATAATAAAGTACAATTTTTGAAATAATCTAAGCCTACTAAGGAAAGGAATGGAATTCTTTTTGGGGGGGTTAACATTTCACACAATTGAATTTCGAAGTTAGTGTTCTCAATCGTCACATCAGTTACAAATATTCACCCCAGCTTAAAACCACTCCCAGCTTGCACACCACACAAAGGCACAGGGGTTGGGCTGGACTTGGCCCGCAGGCTGTAGCTTCGGACTCCTGCTCTAAACTCTCACGTAATTCCCCCACCCTGTGTGCTTTGTACCTGGTGGGTTTGCAGCCGTAACCAGAGAAAGACTATCTGGCTTCCCAGCAGTGCCTGCGGTCACGTCATGTCCAATTCTTCACTCATTTTCCTCCTTTCCTTCTTTCCCTTCCCTCTGAGCCAAACAGGCAATTTGGGTTTTACATTCAATGGGATGATTTTAGGACCTTGGAAGAACCCTATCTTTCAAAATGGAAACTGGCTGGTAGATGAAATTCCTTTAATGTCACAAGTAGGTATAAATCTCAATTTGCAAATATACTTGGGGGAGAGAATACACTGACTTGAGATCCTTGACACTCAATGCCCCCACCAATTTTTACGCCCAGGGTTTGTTCTGGAAGCAGAATGTACAGGTGCTGGGATAGGATGAAGGACTATCAAGTTGGAAGCAGAATGTACAGGTGCTGGGATAGGATGAAGGACTATCAAGGTGGAAGAAAGGCATGTGGAAGGGGGCCTGCCAGCTGGCATCTGGAAGACACAGGTCAGGGTTCACTGTGTGCTGACTACAGGAGAAACACATGTTGAAACCAGGCCCCCATCCACTGGCTTCTGGAAACCTGCTCCGTGTAGTAGCCTTGGCCTCATAAAAGTGAGCTTGGAAGGCACCTTCGAGATCATAAAACCCACAGCCTTATTTCATAAATGAGAAAACTGGCATTCAGAGAGGCTGACGCTAGTTTTCTTTGTAACATGATTTGCTGTTTCATTTTAGGTTTCTGAGTATTAGAGAAAATGTGGCCTTCTAGCCCGTCTAGAGGGAAAAGGGTACAGTTTCTAGGGACTTTCAGCAACCTCAGTTGGTGCTTACCCAGCTGAAAGATTCACGGGCTCAGAGAAGCACTGGGGATTTCCAGCACTTTTCGTGAGAACGGCCAGTCTCCAGTTGACTCAAGTGGAGGATGCTGATGGGCCAGATACCCACATGTAAGCCATTTTGTAGAATCCCAGGGTGAGAGCTCAAACACTGGTCAAAACAGAGCCAACCCTCCCTGCTTTTTCCCATTAGACAACCGCAGAGTGAAATGATGATGGGCTTAGGAAGCAGCTGGAGGTGTGTGTGAATTGCAGCTCAACTGCTTGGCAGGGCTGGTCTTAGGCAATTCAGTTTGGCTCCTAGAGTGATTTGCTCTGTGCAGGGCAAGGGGGTAATACCTCCTTCTGAATAGTGTGGTTCAAGACTGAATGAGATCCTGGGTTCGTGGAGTCTAGCAAATAAGAGATACTCAACTTGCCCGGCTGGCATGGTTGAGCATTGACCTTAGAACCAGGTCACAGTTCGATTC